TTTCATGGATTAGTTGAAGTTAGATATTAACACCGTTGGATGCCGGCCCACTGGTCTAGCGGTTAAGCTTTCGCGCGCAAGACCGGTAGGTCCTCGGTTCGAATCTCACGAGGTGGGATCGTGTGTGCGCAGTGCTCAGGAGTCCCACAATGGGATGAAATGGCGGTCCACTGCTTCCAGATTTTCCATGATGGTCTAGCTTCAATTGTCTCATGATCTCAACTATTAAAATATAAAATTATATGAGTGACCAGTTGTGCTTCTAGATATTGATAGATGGTTGAGAAAGGCTATAAATAAATTTTGTTAAAATGTTTTTTGACTTTATTATTTTTCCAATTTCAAACAAAAATCATTTTTCGTATTCATAAAGTAAAATCAGCATCATATTAATGTTTAAGTGGTATTTGTCATTGGCGGCAAATCGATGTTTAAAATTAAATAAAATTTATACTTTAATTCCAGTGGACAGTTTTACTTTAAAATATCATAATAATTCAGTAAAAACCGACAATCAATACTTGACATGGGATTTTTTTTGTAAAACTCACATGTTGCCAGTAACTGCATGAATAATTAACGTTTTCAGCATATAAACCTGTCTCCAAGATTAGTTTCATTCATTCTATGCTCGTCAATTGTGACTTTTAGAGCATTGGGTGACAAAGTTAAGTTATAAACTCAGTGACATTAGCATTCGCTACACAGTTTTAAAAGTTAAATAAGTCTTTCTTCATTTCAGAACAAATAAGGATGTTATTAATTCATTTCTAGTTACAAATAATCACGTGATAATTATATTTTTAGATAGTTGGAATTGTTGTGGTCATTCAAGGATTCAGGTAAGTGGTTTACAAAACACTAGGAAATTATAGACACCCTTAAAGATCTTTAAAAACCATCAAACAACTCTGAATTATTAAGATAAAATCCATCCCGTTTGTTCAATAAATTTACATTTCATAAGAACATACAGTGTTACTTGTCAATCGGGGTCATAAGGTTAGTTATCAATACAGGTACAAATTGGTATAGCACAAATGTAATAAGTATTCGGTGTAGATTTTTGTTGATAACGTTTTGCTTCCGCCTATTATTTCTCCAGGAATTAATAAGTGTACGTGTTAAGTCTATTTGTTATGACTAAACTCATGAGTACTACATTTGGTTTATTCCGTGTGCTACGGTATAGTACTTACAAAGCGATGAGTAGTCTGAAATATTTAATTATTTCCACATGCTGAAAATTGAAAAGAATGTTTCGTGGTAGCGACCAAATATTTAACATTTATCTTTATACTTATATCTTTATGTCCTTATTTTCCCTAATATTGATGGTACTATTCATTCGATCGCTCACTGCCTAACATCCTGCTACTTCCGGAATGTAGACTTTAACTTATTTTCGTTAAATGTTGCTATTCCTGCAAGATATGTCTGAACGCGACCACATAATTTATGATACATTTGATTTTTTTTCTCCTATTCGATGGGTATTCATACTTTATGTCTTGATTTTTTTTCATCTTGAAAGATTCCTTCCCATCTTGTGTTACATGGTTTGTAAACTATAGAAACTTATCCCGTTTTTCAAATTTTTTTTAAAAAACAGACCTGGTGTATTCATATCACGATGAGTCTAGTTATAAGGTTAGAATCCTTACGTGAATTATTGAGTCTCTAGTGAAATAACATTCCTTATTAAAACTGCAAAGAATAATGTATTCGACAATCCACAAAATATTACAGAGATGGAATTCAATAGTAGATTTAGTTTCAGTGAACTTTATGTTATACTTCAGGAACTCGTCGAGCATTGTCAACGCAGTTCGCGTAAGGTACAACCTAGACTCCCATAAAGAAGAGAAGAGAACAGAATAGAAAAGATTAAACATGAATAATTATCGTCTGGTGATTTACTTGGGATAGTTTCTAAGGAGTATTAATCTAACAGTTGTCTCATGATATGTTTATATTGACCGAAGTACTAAATGTCTTCCCAATCAACAATTGTTGTCTTATTATTTAGTGTTGATACATTACTATCAGCCAGATACAAATGAAATACTCAGATGAGTGTTATAAATGTTTTAGCCATATACTTCGTTCCATTTTACACACATCTACAAAACAAATTGAACATATTGCAAAACATATTACACTGAACAAACTGCAGTCCCACTTCACCCCCTCCCACACACACGAACCCACACTGTCAGTAAAATTACACGATATGTTTATGATATTAGTGGATGGGACAAACACCGACGCGAATTCAATTGGGGAAACATAAAATTCTGAACTGAACATATCTCTAGAAGCATGCTGTTCAGATCAAACGACGGTCAACACACATACAAACGTCTATCCGAGTTATCAGATCAAATAAAATTATTCAATTAATCACATCGTTATTGGTCAAGTGAACAAGATAGCCACCATGGATGCGAAGACAAATCACCATAACGAAACCTACAAGGGCAGCTAAACACGAGCAACACTATCAAAACGAACTGGTCAAATGATTTTGGAACAACCAAAACACCTCACTTATACATAAAGTAGGTAGGTGCTTAAAGTGTTGTCAACAATACAAACAAATGTTCCTCAATCAAATCGCCTAGCTCAAAGAAGTTAACGTCAGCAAAATCATCTTTATCTGGTGCAAATCTTCTCAATTGTATACAGTAACAAAATGTTATATAGGAACAAATCAGACATACTTGTGACCAGGAATGACTTGTAGTTGAAGAAAATATATGTGTTGAAAGAGTCTAAGAAGCCGCAAGTTAAAGATCAAAATGTAGTACTTCCAAATATTATTTTCTACGGACATACGGTGGAGATATATGATGTAATAAAAATGAGAAATTCGAACTGAAAGGGTGTAATAACAGAGTGTTTAGCTGAGAACCTGGTTGACATTGTTTCGAACCACACAGAGGCATCTATTCTCTTAAAATTTCAGCCATATCTTATTGATGAGTGTCGACTTGCGCGAAACTTGAATGAATAACTATTTTCTACTAATTACTTCTAACTATCTAATTCCGAAAACGAATGCACACGATTTTAAAGCACTAAGCTTAGTGACAACTCTGAAACGTGATTAGTACTAATGGACTAGACAAATACATGTAATTCATCACTAAACTACTAAACAGTAACTTTTCAAAGGTTAGATAAATGAATACCCTGAAATTATTATGTTTCATAACTGTCAGCTGAATAGCTCGATCTTTTTTCACTGAGTATATGAGTTTACACACATGTATGAGATGGTATAATGTAATCAAATGTTTTTAAGATTACAAATGCTGTAGCTCGTTACTTTTGTGAAGATTAACACTGGACTATCATATTTCTTTTTTAGTAGATCAAATTGCTATCAATAAGGATAAAAATAATTGTGAAACTGCATCTTCATTCTAGGGTTTTGTAACATCTATTTTACGTCTGATTCAATGGATGCTATTCTAATCGGGAAATATAATAGAACTTGGAAACAACGAAGTTTAAAATCATGTCCAATTTTTACATGAATTATAGTTATTCCATATTATTTCATAAAACTAATCCCGTATAAACCACTCAGTAGTCACCAGCAATTTCCTACATTTTACTTCTGACTATTTATTGCCCAACCCACCTACTAGATATACAGGTTTGTGTAGCTGAATATTGGCCAAACTTTGTATCTAAATAATAGAAATGCTTTCCAACTTTTTAATCAAAATAATTGAAACATAACTTTAATCTACAACTTATGATTTGAAAGCTGAAGGCTCAAAATGCTAATCTACCTCGCCCCCCACCCAATCTTTCCATTAACCATAATATGGTAATGTAGCCATTAATAGAGATAAATATCAAATGATCGGAATTCCTTCATCCATAAAGTCATTATGCTTGGTTATATTTGAATGACAGTAGGTTAACAACGCATCACATTTTGTTTTTGGATAAATTATTCCATAACAATCATTCTCCTTCATATTCCTGAACAGTGAATTATGTCATTTTTGTATTTCAATGACTACAAATGATCATCTGTGTAGGAATAATTTTATCATAGAACAACATTAGCTCATGGATCACTAAAACGTAAAAAGTACTAAACATCTACTTAGTTCTGTTTAAGGAACTTTCAATATCACTGGATGCTCATGACCTCATATAGAGTTTAATCGTCATGCAGGGAATACAACCATTGGATCGATTTCCGCAGGTTAATATATATATATATATATATATATATATATATATATATATGTATATAAACAACCAGGGTGACCTTCAAATGGCTGTGTTGACCCAGTTCTTTATTGATAATTCTCAGTTATTGATTATCTATTCCTTATGATTCAATCTCGTTATAGCCTGTTAACTTATTATTCTTCCTTAATCAGGTTATTGCATATTGTTGCATTCAATTCTAACGCATTTCTGATGATTTGTCCTTGAAGCTTGTGATCAAGGCTTTCCTGAAGTTATTTATCTACATTTTATGGCTATAAGAATGTCTTGCAAGACATCCAGTAAAAGCGATAAATGGATGTGCGCTCGTTTGTAGCTATATTTATCACGCTAGTTACATAGACATATCAAACTTCACGTACCAATTACATCCATTTATTTTGTTTATTTGTTAGTTACCCTTTTCCCATCGTTTCATTTATTCATTCTTTCTTTCCGTTTTCCTCTTACTGTTTATTATCAAACTCATTTTCAGGTTCATCACTAGCTCAGTTTTTTTTCTGACTGTTGTTTGCTATTTTCCCTTAATTTTAGACACTTAACTCCCTTTCTACGTTTCTGTGTGTTTCAGTCTCTTCGTTCAACAAATTTAAGAGTTGATAGATGAATAGATAAATAGCAAAGTTGACCGTGTTTTATTATATCATCAGAGGATCTCGTCTAATTTAAGAACAATCGATAAAACTCAACTCTTATATGTCTACCACACGATCTTCAATTCATATCTTTAGGATAAAAAAAATCTAGAATACGAGATGATCACATTCAGGTTATATACATATATATCAATGTGTATGTGTATAGATACGACGTACAGATTGGTATGTTTTCTATTTGTTTATTGTGATAATTAGTGATCTAAAGTTGGTTTGAAAACTATGTTTGTACATGTATATTTGAGTTTGTTGAAAAGGAGTAATATCGGCGAATAAATTCTTAAAATTTGAGACAAATTTACAGAACATTTCACTATAAAAATCTTACTGAGAATTACTTTTTTCCTACAATTGATATTAATTATCAATAGCAGTGTTATAAGATAACATATCATTCCATGGAGTTGTGATCAGCAGATTTCAATTATGATAAATATTACTTCATTAACTCAACCGGCTTCACCAAATTCACGTAGATCAAGTTCAATCTCAGCACTTGCATTGTATAATACTGCTGTTACGAGCACTTATACTCATCCAAATAATCCTATTCATAATAATTCAACTGTGGTGAATCTTTACACAAGACAGTATATGCAAAAAAAGAAATCTCATCGATGGCGATTGATCAGAACACCAATTCCATTGAATCCAGTCTATCGTAAAACATTATTTTTAGCCATACTTATACCATTTATTGGTGCATTACTGTTTATCGGAGCAACATTAACACCATATTGGGAGAATGTTCATTTTAAATTCATTAAGTTGTTGGAACTATTTTCAATCAAACAAAATTGCTCAACATTCACTGGGCATGAAAACGGTAACATGTACAATAAGTCACTAATTAATCAAACAGAATTTGTAATTTTAGAAGATCCACAGCGATGGATTAATAATAATAATAATAATATTAATAATTATACCTTAGAATTTGTCATATTTCGTGATGGTAAAATATTAAATTGGAGAATACTGAAACACTTATATAAAAATTGTTTGACAGTTACATATAAAATGAATGAAATCATAGGTATTGTCGTACATTCATATAAACATATCACATCTACCGAGAATACACCGAAGCATTTATCACGTGAAACAATAACACCAAGATTATTCACTCGTAACAAATATACATTCACACGTCATGAATGGATACAGCTAGTAGAGCATGGGGATTTGTTGGACGATGCACAAGATGATGAAATGAACAGAAATTTATGGTTAATTATGAATTTGCAAGCTGGTATCTGGACAATGTGTTTTCGATTAGCAGGTAAATAAAAATGGTATTCCTTTTTGTATCCTGGATATGGGGTGTTTGATTCGTGATCAATATTTTATTACGAACAAAACAGAAGTAAACAAAGGCCACCAAAGGATGAGCATACTGCACCATAACCTTCTCAGCGTTATTTAGTCCATGTGGGATATGGATTTTGATGCTGGAATACATGAATAGGTCTCCGATTGTCGATCGCAGATGTAACCCAGAATTGTTCGCATCTGATGAAACAGTTAAGTAAAAAGAACCAGAATTAGGCCGTGTATTACTTACTTACCTACTTACTTCTGTAACCCATTGCAAAGAGTCACAGGTGGCCTACCAGCATTCTTCATCAAAATCTGTCCTGGAAAATCCTTGACAGTTGTTTCCAACTGCTATTCATTCTCTTAAAGTCTGCTTCCAATTACCGACACAATGTGTTCCTTGGAATTTTTTCTTATATATTCAAAATTCCATGTTAGAGCTTGCCTCGTGATGCAGTTTGTTCGTTTTTTCGATGCATGTCCTATCCACTTCCAACATCTTTTCTTAATTTCCTCTTCAGCTGGAAGCCATTTTGTTCTCTCACACAGTACGTTGTTGCTAATGGTATCCGGAAAATGAACATTGATTATCTTGAGTAGTCAATTGTTTGTAAATAGTTGTACTTTTTTGATGATGGTTGTGGTGCGATGCAGAACCAGTCGGAAGTAGAATGCATGAGTGAAGAAGATTGGGAAGATTCAGTTAAAGAAAAGATGAATGGAAACAAAACGTAATTGTAATCAAAACGGAATTGGAAGAATCATGAATCATGTAAAGGCCAACTAGTGGAAGATGTGCAAATTATGTGTTTTACGTACTTAATCCTCGACTGGTTTCTCTCGTTTACAATATTTCCCTACTAGTTTATTCATTATATCATCATATAGTTGTTTCACATTTCCGTCTCATGCAGCTCTTTCCGATGTCATCGCTTAGTCCTACACATATTTCTGCTCACCAGCTCTAATGCTCTTCTTCACTCTCTTGTTTCCTTCGGTGTATTCGGTCTGCGCCTTGACTCTCTCTGCTCTTGTTCGACTGTTGTTAATTGCTGTCTTCTTGTCCTTCCTTTCTTGAATAATATCTGGCGTTTCCATAGAAATTTATTCCTAATGATGACGCTCCTTGAGATTCAACACCTGCTGATACGTTGAAGTTAGTGCTTCTTTGATCCCGTCCCATGGAGCGTATTGTTGACATCTATCTTGAACTCATTGAATTTGTCAGTATCTCGATGGAAGTCTGTAATAAACCTCTCCAATGCTATTTCTCCCGTTGTGCAGTGCTTCTTTATCTTCAGTTTCATCCTGGCAACGACCTGGTGGTGATCTGAAGTTATGGGTGTTGCTCTCTTTGTTCTCGCATCTTTTGTTGACCTGAATTTTTTAGCGATCCAGATCTGTTCGACTTGCTTCTACGTAATGTAATCCGTTAACAACCAGTTCATGTCGTCCCATGATATCTTCATATCCGGTGTTGTCCATTACAACTTTGGCGTTTAGATCTCCCATCAGGATGATGGGATCCCTTCTTGGGCACTTCGCTATGATTGATTGCAGCATCTCATAGAAGTGATGTTTATTGTCGTCGTTGCTATCATTGGTGGTTGCATAACATTTGATAACATTCATCGTGATTCCCTTCATTATTTGTTTTGAATGATGCTTTGATAGTCGTGGATCTGTAAGATTTCCATACTCGAAGTGCTTCTCGTGGTTCTTAGAACAGCATCAGAGCAACTCCGTAAGTGTGTGAAGTAGTTTCCACTTCGTGACCGGAGTACAGCAGCATTTCCCCTTATCTAGCCTTTGCTGTCCAGCTTGGGTCCAATGGGTTTCGCTGAATACGAGCATTTTAAAGTTGTATCTCTTCATTTCGGTAGCTATTTGGCTGGTCCTCCCCGTCTCTCACATTGTCCGGACGTTCCATGAACATATAGAAATTGTTGCTCTGGTTGTTAGAATAGGCATCGTCCTCGTGACTTCCGAAGAATTTCGGCTTTCATCAAAAGGCGTCATAATTCATCTTAATGAAGATCATTCAACTTTTGGGGCATAGTTAGAATGGTTTAATTCATTTCTTCTGTTTAACTTGTTTTGGTTTGTTTTCAATGGGTTGTGGTTGGTGACCTGATAACCAACACCCCTCCTCTCTTGCTTGTGACAAGCCGTAACCGTAGAAGAGCAATAGTTGTATTTTATGCTATGTATACAGGAACCATGTGGAACTGCCGAAGACCAATAAAATTCATTAGTTCATAAGTTCACGGAATTTTAGTCTTATGTTTCTCAAAGTGTGATAACATTCTATTTTTGCAATCTGTGTAAAAATCTCAACATCTATATTTTAAATTAGATTTGATGGTGAGCATGCATTAACTTTTATCTTCCTTCAACTTTCTTCAATATAAACTCATACGTCTTATTACCCGATTTCATATATTCTTTTCAAACTATTTTCAAATATCATCAGTGATACTGTTATTTGAATTCCAAATAGTTTTGAAATTTTTTTGATTCTGCACAATGGCGTGTAATATCTTGCATTAATTAAATTCTGTACCTAGTGACTGTGTTGTTCATGATTTACGTAACCAAATAAACAGATGATTTGATGTTGAAACAGTAAAACTTTCCTCTGAATGACTGACGGTGGATAGCATTTGTACATGTGAATGATTGAAGAACACCGGTAATAATAACAGGTATCGATGCTGTCTGATTAATGATTAGTAGAAAAATTATTAGATTTTATGTTCAAAATAGAACAGAAATTTAAAAAACCACTCAGTAGTGTTCGTAATACGTATGTACTAATACCCAAATGTTACTTTATAGATTAAATAAAGTCGAAACTTAAGTCATATTCTCGAGTTAAATAAAAAAGTAAACTACTACGTCCAATAACAAAATTCATCATTATGATTTGATTACCTAACAAGAAGACCTTATGTTATGATCAAATGACTTGGGTGTGTCTGACTAACAGTTTATCGAACAGTCCGCATTTGACTGCCAACGCGATTGATAGATTATTTTGACAAAGCTGAGTAGGAGCATGTGATGCTGTTTTACAGTCTTTAACACTAAATAAAATTTAACCAAATCCTACTCTTTTAGTTTCTTAACCACACTACACATTACGGTTTACACTTTAGAATCAGTAACAAGTACTTGATTAAGATTGTTTCGTTAATGAAGGGTTAGATTTAGTGATTATTTATCGGTATACACTAATTAGTTGATTAGTAGTAACTAGTGTTTCATTATACAGCTATTATCGCTGGTCAGTTCCTCTTGAATAAGCATCAGTATGCCCTGTTTGAAGACAATCTCCAAAATGGTCTGAACGTAGGTTTTATATTAGCAAACAATAATTAACAAGGCCTATATATAACCTTTTGGGAAATAACGGTTCCATGCAACTCAAATTACTGATACTTTGTAAATATATATATCAGAAGACTGACCTGCATTTCAACTTAAATCAGTTTATGTTTTATTGCGATGAATACTGACTGACTAGAAAGAAACTGATGATAATGCTATATGTTTTTTATAGAGTAGTTGTTCAACAACTTGTTTCAGTTCCAGGATGAGACTAACATTTGATAAAATAACTTTACAAATGACCTTTTCAGTCTACCTTTTGATGAAGTGACTTATATCTCTGTCAAGTTTTCAATTTTTCTTATATTCGGTAATCATTTTTGTCCATGTTTTACTTATTCAGATGCTTACAAACCTAAATTGCTAGCCTACAGCTCAAATATCCATCCAGATTTAAACATACCACTTGACTGTATGTCTTATCTACAAGCAAACTTATCTGAAACAAAGAATCTATGCATTCAATTTCTTTTAAGTAAGTCAACTGAATTATTACATAATTAAATTACATAAATGAATGTAGAATATATATATATATATATATATATATATATATATATATATATATATTACCATAACGATTTCTACTGTTATCTTCACAAAATGTCTACAATATACTTAGCTGGCAGGATTTATTGTAACTGTATTTATAATATTATTGTTATTGTGACAGGAGTGTACGAGAGTCCCTTTTTTTTATCTTAAAATCCAGGAGAACAATATTAGTAATTAATAAACAAGAAATTGAACTTTCAGACAAAAATAGAAAGCTTTGATCTTATTATTTATAATAATACCATGGTCTGTTAGTCAGTCGGGAGTAACGAGGGCTTTAAACAAAGGGAAAATGAGTTAGACCATGCAACCAAAATTCTACATACCTCAGATTGTAGATGAAGACTAAAATGTGGTATACGTAACTAACGAGGTTCCGACCAATTTAATCATCACTCTATATATAAATAAAGTCGACATGACGGGATACTTGCAATATCAAAGGATTCGTCTAAAATACCATTATGTAAACGTAAAAATAACTAGAAAGTACCGTATATGTCCTAATAATTATAAAAATAGAAATAAAAAAATTTGCCAGTTTAAACGGTAATCATATTTAGTCAGTCAGTAACAATGTATAACTTCGTACGTACGTACATCAGTTCGAGTCGCCATACTACATTAGCACACAGATACAATTGTCGATTCAAATCCCATAGTGGTAGAGATAGTAAGAGTATAAGCAGTAATCGGAAAGATTAGGGTTTGAAGATGTTATTTAAGGAGTACGTCACTTATTGTGAATGTTACAAAAATAATATCTTTCGGAAAATACTAACACATAAGTCTGATTCAACCATACAATACAAATGTAAAATTAAGCTGTCTCCTATAAGAAAAAAAAGAAAACAGTCTAATGAGATAACTTCCATATAAACGGTATCATTTCCTTGAGCTGTAATTATTGGTAATTTTTGACTTGTAGTAGTCTATCATTAAATGGACTAGGGTTACTCTATTATAGTGTTGCTCGTGTTTAGCTGCCCTTGTAGGTTTCGTTATGGTGATTTGTCTTCGCATCTATGGTGGCTATCTTGTTCACTTGACCAATAACGATGTGATTAATTGAATAATTTTATTTGATCTGATAACTCGGATAGACGTTTGTATGTGTGTTGACCGTCGTTTGATCTGAACAGCATGCTTCTAGAGATATGTTCAGTTCAGAATTTATGTTTCCCCAATTGAATTCGCGTCGGTGTTTGTCCCATCCACTAATATCATAAACATATCGTGTAATTTTACTGACAGTGTGGGTTCGTGTGTGTGGGAGGGGGTGAAGTGGGACTGCAGTTTGTTCAGTGTAATATGTTTTGCAATATGTTCAATTTGTTTTGTAGATGTGTGTAAAATGGAACGAAGTATATGGCTAAAACATTTATAACACTCATCTGAGTATTTCATTTGTATCTGGCTGATAGTAATGTATCAACACTAAATAATAAGACAACAATTGTTGATTGGGAAGACATTTAGTACTTCGGTCAATATAAACATATCATGAGACAACTGTTAGATTAATACTCCTTAGAAACTATCCCAAGTAAATCACCAGATGATAATTATTCAAGTTTTGTTCTTTTCCCTTCCGGCCTTTTTTTATGCGGTGCTAGTCAATGGCTAAACTGGACAGCTTAATTACCTCATCGGTAACCTCTCTGGTGTTTTGAGCTAATCATCGAAATGATGAATTATAAAGTCATGGAATATACTTTAGAATAAATTTATTGTACTGATACAGCTGCATGTAGTATTAATAACATTATCATGGGATGTCATCAACGAACCGTTATTTAGCTTCGGACAACAAATTGTGATGAATAAGTATCTAGGATGGTAGAAGAGCTATATACATACAGACATAAGAATATCTATGAGATACAATCAACAACAATGAACTCATTTTTTCGTGATTTAAAGTTGATTCTCAGCTAAACGATGTTACACTAGCTTCTACATACTTCTATGAAGTTTACAGTAACGTTTACGAGTGTTGTGCCTTTCACTATGAGTCAGTGGTACGGGTAATTTAAAGAAATATGCTCAGGAATCTTGATGAATTTTTAATTAGATTTCACTGAAGTCGGAAGTATTTTAAAAATGGATAAGATTATAATAAGAACTGTAAACGTAGAAGTAAGTAGTCTTTTATGATATAAGTAATAGTCTCTCTCCGTAGGTAATTTTGAGAGTGTAGAAAATAAAAAAGTGACTAATCCTATCCCTCTAGTAAAGAGATATATTCTCTGAGGAACCATTGACTTGAAGACAAATATGTGCCTCTGGAGATTGAAATGTGACCGCGAAGTGATTATACATAAATGCCAGTTTCTAGATTTCTCAACCGGTGTCCATAGTAGAAACGTTGAGATTCAGTTCGGACACCCAAAATAATACGTTCTTATTTTGTTTTTCAGAGATAAATGACCTAGATTAATATGAATGAACTCTTGTACTATGCTTTCTCCGATTCAAAGATAAAAGGACCTACGAAGAACTTAAAAAAGTTAATTTATCATGTGAAAACTTTATTTTCTGCTATATTACTCTTTTTGCTTTATAATTATTCATTTAAAATAATTGTTTTTTTGATTGTCTAGATCACCTTCAAGATTGCTCACATTCGGGTCCAGAGAATATTTACACTGAATATGAGTGCTTACACAGATACATATTTGTATCAGGTTCCACATTGTTTGTTGCTGACTGACTGAATAAACTGTAGTTAACATCCAAGGTAGACTGTAAGAGTGTTTTAAGACCATGGACTAGGTTTACTACGATTCAGAAATACCTATATATTGTATATTCAAAATGATTAGTTAAAACTTATGCCACTTTAAATATAAAGAGTATAGCAGAGGGAAAGGAAACGTTCGTTTGACAATAAAATGCCAATGTAATAATTGAGATCATGAACCGATCGATGTTAGACCATCAATGAAAACCGGTAGCACTGGACGGCCGCTCCGTCCTAGTATGGGACTCTTTAATTAGAAATCAACACGCTTTACAACCCTGTACTGAAAATGTAATAATTGCATTCGTTTCATTAATATAGATAAAAAACGAAATCACACCTCTTACCCAAACATTGATCTGAATGCATCGAAATGATATTGGCTGGATAATGTAAACTGACAGTTACCATTTTTAATAACACGTTTTAGGTAAAGTCTTTTCCAAACTGAACAATATTCACAAATTCTTTACTGTACCGATGAAAATTTTATGATATTAGTCGTAAAATACTTTTAAATCTTCATGTTTGTTCATTAAAATCTTCCAGAAATGCAGAATAATATTATTTCATGCGTTGTGGTAGTCTATCTATCAGTTGCAGCATCTGTATTGATCGGGGCGTTTTCAACTTTGTTTCGTGCTGTGCCTGCAGCTATGGTAACCGGTGTGTTGTATATTACATCTGGTAAGTTGTATTGTAAACACGCCAACTTCTTGTTACATAATTATAATTATTCTCGATTACCTCGTACTTATTTGTATTCTGCTAATTCTTTTTCTTCATCGTTGTCATTTTACAAACTGATTTCAATATATATACATTGGTAAACATGAGAATGACATAACAACTGAAAAATTTTAAGTGCAAAGTATTATTTTGCTAAAAATACAAAAATGTTTTCGCATAAAGAGTCAATGGATCCAACCAATGTCAAGAGAAAACTGCTAAGGAGTTGAGTAGATAACAGACAATGATTAAGAATCTTTGAATTGTTCTTTTAAAAAATTGATAAAATGACCTACTGTAGGATATGTTGGTTGTTATTGTTAAAAAAAATGGAAGCCTAGATCTTCGAGCAAGTTAGTGTTTTGGTTAAAATCATAGGTGTTTTGTTACAAATTATAACTTGAGGAGAACTGATCATACATAGAGCCGTTTCCAATTATAACAGTTCGTTGTATCCTTTAAGAGTTTTATCAACAACAATAAGTAACTGGATATGATTCCAAAAATCAGAACAACAACAACGTTTCACCACTAGTTGTTGTTTTACTTCCTTCGCACACCTGTTTTGCAGCTTACACATATCGTCTCGGTATTTCTGTTGTTTTTTCTTCAACGATTTCACTGAAAACATGCAGCTTTGAATTTGTCTAAGCTCGTCATATTTTGAATTATCATCTCTTGACTTCAATACACCAAAGATCAACAACGCTCTATTCGGACTTTTCAATACGTTACCAACAAATCTACTAGATAAAGCAATTTTTCTTGATATTTAATATACCAAATCGATGAAGAAACCTGCCAACTCGGTTATGATTCTCTTAGCCTTTGAATAACACGTTAGCTAAAGTAGTATCTCCATTTTCTTGGGTGTTTGGTCACATCTGTCACTTCTGGAATTTCAGTCATCGTGACCACCTTTTCATCTTCATCTTGTGATCTGGCTATGGTCTGCGTAATCTATAGTCTTCCGTTTGTCTATAAAGTAGATTCACTGATCTAACATAGAATGTCTTACGTTTAGTTGTGAATCTGTCACTTACGAAACTTCCAGGTTTTCAAGTCATATTGCTTTAAAATAAATCGCAATTAACGAGGAAGTCTTTCAGATAACAAAACATTTGTGAATATACCTATTTTATATACTTTCACGCTTAAGCACGTAATGTGGACACTACTGATTCCATCCGAGGTATGAGTACAGGTTTTAAAGGAGTGAAAATGGGTTTCTATTAGGAAAATGAAAAAGGTTTAATCATAGACAATATCTTAACAAATATACTTCAGGTCACTTGAACTTAGAAGTGTTTAAGTGAGACAGACTATTCATCTTCAGAAAAACATAGTTAAAAATATTAACATAGATCAAATTCATCTGAAACATTTTAAGTTTATGTGCTGTGTCTTCATGAATCACTAGATGATCTATGAAATCAAAACATGAAGATTATTTTTCTACAATGTTTATTCACTTTCATCTGTAATGCAAGATGGCATTAAACTTGCCGATGAGTGAAACGCAAAAATTTAGTCAATATTTAGCATCCTGTTGGTTATAATCAAAGATTCCAAAGTAGTTTGTGGGGGTTTATTAACTTCAAAGCAATTCTCTGTCACATTCTAGAAACAAGTATGAAATCAATGAAAACCAGAGGAAGTAAGATAAATGTACCTTCCTAGTCTGTGACTTTGTATTAGTAGTGCTCATGAGATTCCATAGGAAAGATCAAACCAAGGTTCTTCATGTCAAGAGTATTTATTTGATCGAATATGTATTTATTTTTTAAAAAAAGATTTTGTCGTTCAATATTGCACCATGTATTATTTTATATAATATTCCAGGTGTCTTCATTATTTTCGCAAATTGTATACATCATACAAAATTGAATCGTCTTGAGTACGAATGGGGTCCATGCTATCCAATATCACAAATACCTCGAACAGTAAGTTGTACATTATGAACATCTAAGCATCATCAGAACATATATACATAACTTTATAAGTAAAATAATACTCTAAATAACAGAGGTTAATTTACTAATTCTACCACATTTCCAAATATCATACAGTAAATGCAACTTAAAGTTTTAGAAAAAAAGTTTTTTATAGCCGATTGATAAAGGATTTTTTTAAATAAAAACAATCACAGAAATTTTTGATGTTAATCAGCTAAATGAAAGTATATAAGAAGGAAACAGTTGCTTATTGGTTTTATGCAACTTTTTTGATTTATGAATCTTCTTAAAAAAGTTCTAACCGCTGAATAACAATTAAATAATTAAATTGACTTCAATTTTCGAACTGAAATCATGCTTTTTTAACATTGTTAAAGGATTCAGCATATGGTTATATCTGATTCTACTTTATTCATTGACATTCAAGTTAAGTAAGCACAATATTATTTTTGATGAAGTTTTGTTCTCTGAGCTGAATGATTTGATCGTGGAGATTTCATCGTCCTTCTGAGCAACATCATTAGCAAAAACTTCAGGTAGACTTCTACCGTTAAAATCACTCACCTGAGTTATAAATTTTTCTCACCATCTCGTAATATTACTTGTTATGAGACAATATTTCTTTCGAATACATCATACAAACTGTAAATATAAGTGAGTTATTAACTTATTTGGTTTAAGGATTTTCATGCATAAATCTTGAAATATTCCTGAATAACTAAAAGAAATCTATTCGTCAAAAATTCACTATGGTTTGATTGAATTAAATCATGACATTACACATTTATGTTTTCAGTAGTTATCACCATGGAAAGCCTGGAAGAACCAGACGGCTGTTTATTTTTTCAGTGTAATGGATATCCATATCATCATTATTTTTAACAACAATTAGTTTAGATCAATCAATATACTAACATTCTTGATCAATATTATTAAAAAAGAATGCAGAAAGAAAGTAGTTGTATAATTTTAAGTTTAAAATATCTACATCATAGTCTTCAATCAGTAGCACAACTTCTGTTTTATTAATGGTATCGAAGTTCGGAAATATCTTTTATTCAGATATATTTTAAAATTTGAAAAATTCCCATATTGTAAATTTAGAACAACATAGATATAAGCGAACAATATTGTTTTCGATTAGATCTTCATCAGACTTTACTCTAATATACAATGATGTATTTATATGCAATATACGAAATTATTAAACCAACCAAGGTAGTTTATGAGTCAATGGTAACAATGGAAAAGAGGTGTTCAGGTAATTGATTCGTGAAGCGTATTTTTGAGAAAAAAAGGGTAGGAGGGTGTGAAGAAAAATAAACAAAGAAGGAGTATGGAAAATAATAATAAATAAAATCATTTATTAAGGCGAAGGGAGAGATAAGGGTGTTACAAATTTCTTATGAACAGAAAAACTTGGATTGTCAGCTCGAATTCCTATAGCCTCTGCTATGTGCAAGAGACGAAATCGAACCCCATAAAGAAAACGACAAACAACTTTAAATGACTTATTTCTGTCTGCTACATGACATCTATAGATCAAGTGTGACAGAATAGAGCTGCGTATTGTCTTGACAGTACTTTTTCCTAACCACAAAGGGAGATGTTCACAAACTCTTTGGCTCAATTTTTTGGTAGTACACCCAATGTAGCTTTTTCCACAGGAGCACCTGAATGCGCAGATACACATATAAGTGGCATAACCAGGTAACTTATCCCTTAGTTGCGGAATCACCATAGATCGGGTCGAGTATGATAGACAGAGGTTGGCTGCATTAAACGTTCTCTTTACCGCTCTATTCAGTTTATCACGTAGTACATCACCAGCTGCATCTCCAATGAATTGCAGCTTCAAGAAAAGAGGTTTCTTACTAGTCGTTGATGTCGCCATTTTCTTATTTATTACATGCAAGTGTTTCTTCCGGAAACCCTGTGGATAACCCATTTCAATCAACATATTATGCATGAGTTGATTAATTAATTGATCAATTGATTAATTAATTAATTGTCTTGACTGAGCATATCTTAATAGCTCTATTTGTCAGACATTCGACTGAGTTCCTCTTATAATAAAGAGGTACAAAGCTTAAGAAATGTGTGTATTGGCTTGATGAAGAGCTTTTTCTATACAACCTTCTACTAATAAAACTATTTTCTTTTCTTTTTAACAAAACGTCAAGGAAATGTAGTGTATTATCTACTTCCTCTTCATATGTAAATTTAGTTGCTGGATGTTTTTTGTTAAATACTTCTTCTTTCCTAATATTCTAACCGGCAATAATGAAAGTGTCATCAGTTTTACGACAGTAGAAGTCAAGCTTATCATTAACAACTTTGAGAGGTGAGTTTTCTAGTTTTGCGAGAAAAAAATCCACAAGGGTAGGACCTAGAGGTGAACCCATAGCTATACCATTAATTTGTCTATAGTATATGTTATTAAAGACAAAGCGCATATTGATTGTACATTTCAGAAGTAATTCTTTGAGACTTACCTCGGGAATTCCAATGTTGATCTGATTTTCAAATAGTTGTTGGTACACAAAGTCAATAGTTTCAGTTAAAGGGACATCGGTGAACAGGGAAGTAACATCTAGACATATCATCTGTTTCCCATTTAAGTTCATATGTTCAACTTCGGAAATGAAATCGAAAACATCTTTCACACTTCTGTTGACGACTAGTTTGTGTAAGGAATCTAGGATTAAAACTAGGCACTTTTCAGTTTTATGATAAGGCGAATTATACATATCTAGAACTGGACGAAAAGAAAGGCCTGTTTTGTGAACGTTGAGTAAACCATATAGTCGCAGTGTGTTCGATCCAGTGGGTTTATGTGAGTCGTGTGTGTGTGAAGTAAGTATTCCCTTATTTTTTAATTCCTTAAGTGAATTAGTCAGCAATTTCTCTGTTTTTATATTTATGTTCTTCACATCGTTGATTTTTTGAAATTTAGTCAGATCATTCAAAATCGAATTCATTTTATCAATGTAATCGGCTTTGTTCATTAAAACTAGCCCTCCTCCTTTTTCTGGCTTGCCTATGATTAGAGTGCTGTTTTTTCTAAGCATATATAAAGCATCTTGATGATGTTTGTTAAGTGGAGTTTTCACAATATATTTACTATTTTTGTATTGTCGGCAGATGACCATCAACGTGAGTTCATCGAATGAAGTAGGAACCAAATCTGTTGATTATGTAAATAGATTTTCAAACTGTATATCTGTCAGACATATTTTATCATTTTAATCTAACCTATTATAGTTCGTACATTTATTTTAATAATAATCTTCTATACAGAGATATAATTATTAAATAGTTCATTCATAATTTTCATATTCTTTCCATAGTTATATACTCCAGATATTATCAGTGTTCATCCACTTTGGCCTGTGTTAGTCAGTTGGATATCATCATTTGTTTTCTTTATTGCTTCAATTATATGGCTTATTCTTACACAATTAATGACTTTTGAAAATTCTAAAACAATGATTTAATTAAAGTTTTTTTTTTTACTTACTCGTCCGTTTTCAACTTTCTTCTCTCTTTTTTCTTCCTTCTCCTCTATTCCTTACTATACATGTATATTTTAAATGAATATACTATCAGGCAAATTTTAAATTTCTCTAAGATCATTATCAAACTAGGTTTAAACAATTATGTAGTGCTCATGTTTATTTTGATGAATATCAGTTTATTCTTTGTGTATCACTTAAAAATATTGATAAATTTTACAGTGACAACAACAAAGAAAAAGAAAAAGAAACAAACAAGATAGTTTACATAATCCATTATCATTTATTGCACATAAGCATTGCATTCCAACTAAATATTGACTATATTATTAATTATTTGTTCTAAATAATAACAAAAATTAACAGAACTTTGTTCGTGTTTTTCTTTTCTTGTTGTGTCTTTGAGTTTATAGAATAATAATAATAATAATAATAATAATAATAATAATAATAAAAGAAAGTTTATTTACACAGTTTTATGGACTCTTGTCTCTTAATAAGATTCTGTGAAAATTCTCTTCAAAATGGATAGATTTGTGATGTAAGCTACTTATATCCACATAAGTAGTATATAACAATGGTTAGACATAAAATGTATTTCAGTAAAAGACCGAGAACGAAAGAACAGGAACAGAAACACATTTGATATGAAAATGCATAAACAATGAAATCTGAGACAATGGACTGATATTTGCAAAAAAAAACAGTCAAGTTTGAAACGATGAATTGATATTTTACAAATTCACTATTTATTGTATGATTCTCAGATTTTAGTGAGATGTTCTGTAATTTCGTACTCAATAACATTCGATTGTCCACAGTCGTGTTCACGTTCACTACAGATTGACCACATCCTCATCCATCAACTTAGACTTAAATGTAATATTGATTAAGGAATATGATAACAGTAACTCCGTTCAATATTACAAATTTTGCTGCAATAAAAGGATTCTCATCACCAATTGTGTAATAACAAATATCTCCTTAATATACACTAACATTGAAATCACATAGAATATAATTGTAAAATGTTCTTAACACTCAGTATCTTCTTTTTTTATTTCTACCTGTTCAGCTGCTATAACTATTTGTTTGCAATCATCGCATATAAATTACTTGGATCCCAATTTATTTGCTTCTTATTTTGGTAAGAGAGAATATGTCAAGAACATGTCAAGTTTTTGAGTTGCCTCACTATTTAGTAATACAACAATTTGTAACACTTTTATGTTACCATGTGGGTACAAACAATTAGTAATCATAATTATCTGGTTTAAATAAATTAAAAGAAAATATTTTAACTGTAATATTATCACAGTTCAAGGAAAATGTTGCATAAATATTTGAACAGTCCGGTGTTAGTCATATGTCATTCGATTGTTATTTATCAAATTGATCCAACGAAAGATAAACATTTAACTGGTAATGTCTCTGGCTGTGGCACTGAGAAATCTGTGGCAGAATTTTACATAGTGTTTATAAGTAACAACAGGCAAAACGCTGAAACTGGGTTTTCTATCGTTTATATTTGCCCACATAACATGATAATTAAGGCTAAAATAATACATATACAAACCTAAATATCCGTTAATCAGGCATTTCTACAATCGCTTGATGTAAGAATTTCAAAATATCTCACACTAAAACCTTAGCAATACTTTCCAAATTACTTATGAAACGTTTTTTCTACCGGCTTTTTTAAGGTTAAATGAGAAAGTTCTATCTGTGTTTAGATCTGCTGATCATTTTGGCTACTTAAAGTACGCTATCAAAGGGTTGGCCAACTGAATGTAAACCCTAAAGAAAGTATTCGCAAACCCAGCTAGAAAAGCGATTTAAATAACTCACATATATGCATTAGTCATAGCTAATTGAAAAAGTACACTTCTTTTTGATGACTCTGGTTCATCACAAGGATTCAAGACATTGTGTTATCTGAATGGCTTCCTTTATTTCATACAATTGCACTTCAGATCCCTTATATATTGGTTGGAAACTTTGTACCAAGTAGATCAATTAATTCCAGCACATAGTTTGATATTAACTGCTGGAATATTCATAAAAATAGACTGGTATTACTACATCAATAAATATTCGTAATCTTTGTTAGTAAATGTCCGACGTGATCCTTCAAACATGTACCCGTCTTATGAGGGAAGTAAACGGAATGATCATAAATAGTAATCTGTTTAAATGTGAAATGACACTTCGCTATCGGGATAAACTTCTTTGGTTGCTTCTGAAAATGATGAACCAGGTTGTACATATTTTGAAATTCCCAAAATTCTTGATATAACTCAGAGGCATTAGTAATGACTATTTCGTGCCTGACATGTCTGCACTTCACCGGTCACGACTTCCCACCAGAATCTCAAGAACTTATTGTGAAGCGACTCACTGGCAAACACACGATTACAGCATTAGCAAAGAATAATTTTTGAGATTGGTTTACTTAGTAAGTTGTATTTGTCACAGACTAAACTCATCATAATTTCAAGGAGTCTCATACTGACACGAAACACCTATATGATGCTCCCTGTTTTTCACTGACACATCAACTGAGATAAATCTTTAACGAATATTACTTACAAACGAAACCCACCTTTACTCAACCCCTTCACTAGTACATGTCATAAATGTTTTCGTGGTACACGTTCTCCAAATTCATTTTTTATTTATTCCAGCTTGTCAACTATTAAACTTAGATAATCCTGTTGAGCACTATCGAACGTTCTGTTTGACAACCGTCTAAATGTCGAGTTTAAAGCCTTACCTTTTTGCCTTTAAATAGCAGTGAGTTTATGTTCAATTCAAATGCTAGATTATTAAGGATCAGTGTCTAAGCCATTCAAAATGAACGGGACATCACCAAAAGTAAAGACTAGCATAATACGAATATCCATATTGATGAATAATTAAAGTCACTTTAACTCAATTATTGTTTATAGATTTATATACTAAGTTCTAAATCATCATGTTGTGTTAAGTCAATCATGCAGAATTTGGAATTGTATTCTAATGGTTAAATATGAGATATAATAAACTGTATTACATCCTAAAATTACACAACTAAATAGACCTTCCATTTTTTGGGCTGGGAAATTGTAAACAATTGTATCAAATACAAATAAATTCAAAAGTTCCATTAGAATTCATCAGTCTACTAACTAAACATTTGCTTCTATTTGCCTTTGTACATAATAATGATCAATTAAATAATTACTGCTCAATAAGTAGGTCTCTAGTAGATTATATCAAAATACTCCATTATCAATAAAAAAAAAGGAATTATGCCTTAGTTAATGGACAGAAATAAAGATTGAATTATAAAATAAACCAAATCAATATCAAATTATTAAATGTAGTAAACATAATTACCGATACACTTTCATACAAGACAGAGGTGATTTAAAATCGGAAGTTTCATCCAATATCATATTTGTATGTCAGATGTATCTGTATATTAGGAATTGTTGATTTTCATGATGGAGATGGAACTTAACTTCCCTCTCTAGGAACACTAAAGCATCAGTGATTAGATTACTGAACTGTGTTAGTCACCTGATTAGTGGGATATGGTTTCATCCAATGAGTAAGAAAACATGGAAATTACATAGAAATGATATCCACAAGTTTCGAAATTATAAGGTAACTAAGGGAGATTTATCTGAAACGAAAATCAAGTTTGTCAAATTATAATAATAAGTTGAGAAAAGAACAACTGTTGCTCTTTAAATGTTGGCTTAGATTAGTGACAGATATCACGATTATTTATTCAGATGCTTAAGTATTGTCCCATGTTTCTTTCTGGATCAAAATCCCTATTTGGAATCGACTGATTGGTTTACTAATACCTCCCCAAACCCATTATTAAAGTTTTTCATATTAGAACTAAACTGTAAAACGTCTTCTCGCTACGACTCATTTACACCCAGTGATGTATATTAGAATATAAGCTCTAACTAGAAAATGATTCGAGTTCGAACATATGCTCCAAACAAATTTCGACATTCCCAACGATGCCTGATAACGATAAATTTTATTTGTGTCGATATCACCATGTAATATATTCTCTCTCATTATGCTTTAAATTATTTCTTTCAAGAATTAAACTGTTCTCTGTATATAGTTACAACTGATAACCAGCATTACCTATTCCTAGGGATAGAACAAAGAAAGCCCCCTACTTGTATCTTTCAACTTGATGTACACTACTTTCTTGGGAATTAAATCACCAGCCACGATTACTGCATCTGAGAGTTTCACTCTCTGAAAGAGAGCAGGAATCATTCTACAAATCTGTTGTTCCATTTCATTGTGAACTTGGATTGAGTCATTTAGTGGAAGTGCTCAAATATGGATGTGAAAGACAAGATAAATAACATCGAGGTAAAATACACTGATTCCGAATGAGTATTTGGGAAAAAAACCTGACATATTATAGTTTTCCATTGATAGTTCCAAAATGCTCAACACGGAACATAAACCCTAAAATTCATTCTACATGCTACTAACACAGAAGAAATATCGTCTCCTACCAACAGAAATTTTAAGAAAGTTATAATGTCTTAAATTCTGTCCAGGTGTGCTTGTGTGCTTGAATACTTGACAGTACTAGGCGCTGAAATTGTCAAGCAGTCACCATGACAACCTAATGCAAAATGAATCAGAGGCAGTTAGTTTTTATTTCAGATCCTAACAATTTTCACTGAGCTTTCACAAAAGTTAATAAAAGTAATAATAATAATAATAATAATAACAATAATTGAAAAGTGAAATCCATAACAAAAACAAACATTGACATATTGAATGAAAAAATATTAAGAGAGACCAGCTCCTTAGAAAAGTAAAAATTATCGTTTGTGCCAGCAATCATTACAGGTCATTACGAAAAATGTTTTGTGCGTATGTAAGACAAAACGACAAAATAAATACATCAAAGTAAAAAAAGAAAACACACTGATCAGAACACACAAATAAATTTTCATTATAAGTAAACAAACAATTTACCATAGTAATTTAGCGTAAATATGTGAGTAGTCTAAAAGAAAAATAATGATGTGATGGTGATGTAAGCACAACTGCTGACATAAAACATACTCCTAGATTCCATATTTTTTTTATCATAGAAAATAAACGAAATATTTCTCTTCGATAAAAAGGAACGGTGATAAAATCCCATGTCAACCAACAATAGAAATTATCAATAGAAAAGAAATATCCTATTCTTCCTTATTTTCTTTTATAGATTTACTAACATATTCCAATTAATTAAAGAGAATAACAACAAAACAATAACAACGAGATCTGAACAATATTTGCAATAATACTGGTTACAGTAATAAAGTAATAATTATTAATAGTACTAATAATAGTGAAAGTAGGTAAACAATTACAAAATAAAGCTATAACGTACAAAGATTTGTCGATCAATTTAAGTAGTATGAAGAGTATGTTAGTAGTATAAAAAGCAATTCATAGAATAAGTGCACACATGAGAAAACTTTCAATAAAGCTCATTTTCTGTCCCAAAAACAAAAAAAATAGTGTCTTCCGTTCGTTACTTATAGTTTACTTTCATTTCCTGGTTATTTTAATCATTTTGCATTTGTAATATTTATGTATCACAAAAAAAAAGAAGCGATTTAATTCTTTCCTTTTCATGTGGTGAATATACGAAACACTAATGAAAACAATAATTCTCCATGAATATAAAACTAAAACCATTGATTACTTGAATATTCTAGCAAAGGAACAAAAAAGAATCTATAGAAAGATGAATGAAATATCAAACTGCCTAATTAATTGAATACGCCTATTTCTATGTTGTTTTAAGATGTTTCCTAAAAAAAAAATAAAAAGAAGTTCTATTCTATGTGCATGTATCTATGTATGTATGTATGTACGTATGTATGTATGTATGTGTGTGTATTTATGTATCTATAACAGAGATAGATAGACTAAAGGAAACTTAATCCACTTTATGAAACCAAGAGATAAAGGCAGTAAGTGATGTTTGATAAACGTCATCTTATTGAATGTTTAAGACTAGTGATAATAATAACAATATTGGCATTAATAATAATAATAATAATAATATCATTGAAACAAAATGCATTGACTAAAAATTAAAAATGATCCTATAAAACGAGTGGATAGCAAGAAAAGATTGATAATACACCAAGTCAATAGTACTACGTTTTAGATGAATATTAAATAATTCAAATAATGTTAGTAGTTACTTTTCATTCTAGTTTTATTGCTTGATATTGACTGTTTTTTCCCTGCTTGTATATCACAGAAATGTATTTCAAATAATGAAATGACTATCAGTTACTCCCTATGGTCATCGTCATCATCATCACCAAACCCTGGTGGGAAAAAATATTGCATAAATGGCTGTTGGGTTTGTTGGGGTAACTGTTGTTGTGCTGTCGTTAAGGTCAGTTGTGGTACGCGTAAACGTGCTTCTGAAAATCGTGGGGGTACTTGAGAAGTTGACGGTCCAGGTACCAAATAACAATGCGGTGTAAGTGAATGTAATAATGGGCATTGAGCTATTAAATGATTTGGATCACGACATCGATAACAACGTCGTCGCATAGGTTCGAACGGACATGTAGCAGCTTTATGTGAAGCATATTGTCCACAATTATAACAGCTAACAATATAGAGATATTTTTAGTTAAAGAAAAATTACGAAATTAAAAATAACATTTATAAACCAAGTATAGATAGTTATAATTCATTTAACTGTTTGAAAAAGTCCCATCATCTTAAAACATACACATTTCACACTATTACCTTATATACAAATTAAACCCTATCCTTTCACACCATAAACGTCATACATATTATTATCCTTAACCGTGCACACATACACACACTCTAATTTGCAAACATGTCGCTTATGAATCACCCTGACCGAAATGACATGACGTCAGACCTGTTTTTTGATTGTTCGCACATAATATTCATGTGTTGTTGTGTTGTACTATTTAAGCTTGGATTAATTTTGGTTTGGTTATCTATTCTCTGAAAAAGTAGCTTACAATGAGTCACGAGACGTCAGAAAATTTAATTTTTCTACTCTTCGGGTTGGACGCCGGCTCAGTAGTCTAGTGGTTAAGCGCTCGTGTACGAGACCGATAGGTCCTCGGTTCGAACCCCGCGAGGAGGGGTAATGGGTGCGCACTGTTGAGGGTCCGACAATATGACGAAACAACCATCTACTGCTTCCAGGTTCTTCATGGTGGTCTAGCTTCAATTGACTCATGATCTCAACTGTTAAAATGTATTTTATCTTAAACCTAACCGTTTTTTAGATTTTAAATTGGAATATCTGACAGTAGAACATAAAGAAAATTTATTGGAAAGAATATTCCTCGTTCATACCGATATTTTTCTGACTTTTTTAAGTTCTAGCTGATAGACTTTCATTCTGTTGATAGAAGAAATTATTTTGACGGAGGGAAATTTGTTCGTATGACCTTCTTCTTCAGGCTCAATGTCTATAAATGAATAAAATCTTTACTGTCACAGTAACAGAAGTAGTGATTTCTCGTTATCGGTAACAGTGTGTGATTCAATTAACAACAGTCACTTAAACTGATATGCTCATTTCAAACAGTGAAGTTAGTTATATTTTTAAAATAGTTTATTGAGTATGCTAATGATATCAACTGATCACCAGTTATATCATCCATTATAGTTTAAGGGAATTCAGGAATCCATTTCCTGATCGAATTAACGATTTAACCACCAAAAACATTTCACTAATTTTGGAATTCATTCAAGCTATCATAATAGAAAATTTAGTGAAAACTTATACCACTAAATCATTATTACCTTCATCTATCTAGTGTATGAATGAAAATTATCATTATTCGCCACAATACTCTTAAGTAAGCGATGTCAGTTTTTCTAAGAGTTGCTGAAAACAATAAAAAGTACTGTTTCCATCATCAGTTCTACCTCTCATCACTAACCCAACTGCTAAACAAGATATAAATTTAAATATTTACATCAAACTACTTAAGATTGATTAACCACTGGGTAGTGACCAATGTAACGTATTTTAAGTCCTTCTTAGTGCTATTTATGTTCTGTCGATCATGTTACAATTTGGTCACTAGTCTAAGATATGCGACATCGTATGCACTTTATTGAGATGTACTTGGGTTGTCAAAACTGTTGTCTGTTCTCAGAATGGGTTTTGTGGAGAGTTTTAGAAATTTCACAGGTTGAAATCATGAGTCGATTGAAGCTTTTTATTGACTTACATATATTGCTCAGTAAGACTACGAAGATGATTCCGATTAGCAAACTCAAAATCAACAATCATTTTTAAACTAGCAATACAACCATGCTAACCAGTTAGTATTCACTGCCTACATATTTAACATAGTTCAGTTTTACAATGTCTACTATTCTCTTATAGTCTTTAACTACTCGTAAGTAGTAAGCAACTCCACTTAAAATTATTTAGGAAATTGCTAATGGATTTATGCATTTATTCATTTTACTGTTATGTTCCACATACATCTAACTAACACTGATATTTATTAAAATTCATGAACTACATGAAAGCGTTTTGATTTTTATACATTTTACTACAATCACTTCATGATACACCATAAAGATCACTCAATGTAATCAAAGATGACTGACATAATATATAAAATAAGCAACTCAGTCAGACACAGTTTAACATTTGGACGTTGCTGATATTAACCTATGTTGGACTGAATTCATATAATTAGTTTTCAGACGGGGTTAGTTGAGAAATGAACAGCTTACTGGTAATTTATGTAAATACTGGGCTGAATAATTATGTTCTCGGAGAAAGTATAGTTTTATTTATTAACTCAGATCCTCCTAGGTAATGGATACAACGGTGCACAAGACCGGATTTATTACCTCCCGCAATAATTTTCAACTAGCAAACCTTGGACAATATCTGATCATTTGGATCTATTGTTGTCTGTGTGAGATATAAGTTAAAAATTGATCTAGACCAATGTGATATGGTGAGCCAATCAGAAGAAACCAAATGAGAGGGTCACTTGATAATCTGAAATGGCTTGAAGGATAAATGTATACCATTGACTAAGAAATGGATAAATTTTCTAAACTGTAGAGATGTATGTGTAAAAAGAAGTATTTGTGTAGCCCAATATACTTTCTCATCCACTCCCGTGTTCTCTCACTAGCTGTCTGGTGGTGAGTTAGCATGTAGCACGTTGTGTATCAATATCAGTCTTCAGACACCGCCCACCATAACGCAATGTAAGACTTGTTATTTAGAAATTCAGACCTTCTAGTTTAGTGTAAACGCACTACCACTCAGTCACTCAGATATAATAATTTACATCAGGAGCGTCAGAATGGTTAAAACAATCAGATTTCTATTTCGAAGATTAAGTATGCTATTATCAACCCTTACTTTCTATCTCACTATTCCATTGTTTATAACTTAAATATAATCATAATTTAGATTTTTATTGGACAATGATGAACACCAAACACAAAAGTAATAACATCTCAATTTGTTATGTCACTTGAGAAAAAAATTTTTTGGGTCCCATAAATTAGTTTACAGTTACCATATAAAATACAATCACTTATAGTTCAATATTATATTGCCAATTATATAAGAAGTTTCTCTTCATAAGTGTAGAAAATTTTGTAAAAGATATTATATGAGAGTAGGATTTATCGAAATCATTCAAATGAATAAAGCTTAGGAAATATCGTGAACTGACTAAACTTGGAAATATTGAGGTCTATTTTCTAATTCAGTACTTTTCACGCTACCGAGATCTGATGGACAGATTATTTTTACGGGTTTTATCACCTTTTATACAACTTTTATTTCTGCACACTCTTGTTCGGTTGAATTTGCATCATGTGATAAACTGACTGTATCTAAATGGACAGATACTTATGTGTGTTACCCCTAGTGGAGCGTTGGCCGTCGACTAGGATTCACCAACATTCTCTAACATGGACAGACAAACTGGATCAGTGTTAATGTATCTGTTAACAGTGGATTGAAATAAATTTCAAACTTCTAAAAGTTCTCTGTTATCATTGAAGTCCCCTAATATTCTCCTAAACTACAAATAAAGCTTCTCAGTTAAACTCGAAAAATGCTGCACTACCGAAACTACGTACCAAAGCTACAAATCCTCTCGATCATTAGAGGTTATACTGTGGAGTCCGATATTTCAGTCATTAAGATCACAAACGACGGTTAAAATCAATAACAAGTGTAATAAAAATTCTTTAACCAATAAATATTCTTTGGTTTCATTAGATGGAACTTTAATTTAGCAAGCTTTTATCTATATAAACAAATGATTATTCACATTGGAGGATTCTGTAGATCTTTCATGTGCGGATTGTGGTTGGAATTACCTAACGCTAAGCTTCGGTAAGCAAAATGCGAGCTTATAAGATAAGCTGGAAATGGGTCCACTTGGTACTGAGATGTCTACTATTCACTACATAAGGTTTATGGGTTATAGTCTAATCCATTTAAAACGCCTGGTTTCTCAAAACATCGAAATCTGATTATGAGAGGACTGAACGCATCACATCTGGATGAAAGTCAGCTTGGTCCCAGTTTCACACTATGCAATGTCATGTGTACCAAACAGATTGTGTCGCACTACAGAAATGGTCTTTTGCTTAACAGGTGGGTATGACGGTTATAGATTTGTTTAAAATCTTAACTATATACATATTTTTGCTACTAGATTCATGCAAGGGGATAAACAAAATCTAAGTGTAAAATCCTAAACGTTAATCAAAATAATCAGTAAAACATTTAGATCTCCAATTACCTCAAACAACCATTAACCTATCTTTATTCCTTGGACTTACCGAAATCGTCTTGTTCTACGTCTTTCAGGTAACCTTCTCATTCTAAGTGGCTCTGAACCAAGAGGAAATAAGGGTTGACGAACTGCTGGTTCTGACCATGGAATTCGTGATGTTGAAGGAAATTCTCTCATTTCAATTGCTGGTTGAATATTATATCCTTCTAATCCTCTTACACCTGGACGTATTTGAAACCAAACTGGTAAGTCTGGATATAACTGCTCCGCAGAAATTCCGTATACGTTAGACTAGAAAGAATGTTTTTAGAAAGACAGCCAGAATACATTAAGCTATTTTTATGGCCAAAATAACAAGTGGTGAATAGTTTAAAATCAGAAAGCAATGAACGTTTGTTTTGTCATATTATGAGACTAAACCGCAACACTAACCAGCCACAATCTTTAATAAAGCCGAACTCACTGAATTCACTATAAAATCCTTGTGGCACTGCACCAAGATCCACATTTCCACCTGAAGCGAATTCAGATAACGACCGTCTAATGTTCTAGTGGGACGTCATAAGTAGCGAAATTTACACATGCCAAGAGTAGACAGATATCGCTACCGCGTAAAACTTGAAATGGATTGGATTTTAGAAGCAAATATCAGATGGATGAATGTAACTGGAAGAAGGCTGTTGCCATAGTTAGAACGCATCTTTGGATTTTACTTCTAGCCTTAGAGGGAATTATCCTACCTATGAAATTTAAGCCTGCATCACTCAGTCTCATGTTCATTCACATGACCACTGAGTTATGCCGATGACTGGCGCTCTCTGTATCTTGCCTCTAACCATATTAAACATATTGATCCACAACGTCGAGTCACATGGTCGTCTGACTACTTCTATTCCTGTAATTCAACAATCAGTTCCACAGAAGTTTGAATTCCATTTCTCTCCGGGAACAATAGCGATCTATGGTTATCATGCAATTTAAATATTCAAGGTCTTTGAAAATGGTGTTAGTTTCCAATCCCCTATATAACTAGGACTACAGACGGTTATACTCAAGATTTTGAAAATCCCAGATTGTTACATTATTACTGTACAACTAAATGCAAGTACATCTATGGAAAAAACAGACTAGAAACTGTAGGCTTAACTAAACAATTTAAAAAGTATACGTTTCAGTGACCAAAACAGTATTAATAGTTCAACTGAGTGTTACCTACTTGGTATGAGATAAATTTAACAATTTCAAGATAATCTTCCTTAAAGTGATTATTACAAGTCATAGCAGTTCAAAATGAGTCAGTAGCTAACACTCAAAACGTTGATAAAAGACACTAATGGTATGAGTAACTTACAATCCAGTGAGATTAACTCACACTCATAATGTAGACTAATGTTAACTTCTCTAGTATTTAAAAAAGCTATCAGTAAAAATGCCCCAGTAAACAGTATTATTCTAAGTTACATTCGAATGTATCCTTCAAAACAATTCAGTTGTGATTAGGAGAATAATTCATTTCAAAATTTTTCAAATTGCTTCAATTTATTACATTCTGTATGTAGCTGTAAGGTGAATCCAATAAAATAAAATGAAAGCATCCGTGAAGCATATAGTTTTATCCTATTTAAATCATAACTGAAAATAAAAGAATGACCCTCTCCCAGTTTGGAACTCTATGGTCATTAATAGCCAAATAACTACCCTGGTTTACAGTAAATTTCTAGCTCATGCTAATAGTGATGGAGTGATAAGTAACACTTAATGCATAAAAACCTCTGAACGTTGAGTATTTTATAAACTAAACTTCATTATTTGAATAAAGAATTACCCGCATGATATGAGACAGTAAATAGTTTTTCTAAAAATTGATTCTTTACTTGAAATACATTCATGTGTTAAAATTAAAAGTAATAGTATAACGTAGTCATTCACCTAGTCAACATAAGTGGGTGCGGAAAGTGCTTTTTTACTATGGAGGACAACTGGGACGGGATCAAAGAAGCACTAACTTCAACGTATCAGCAGGTGTTGGACCTCAAGGAGCGTCATCATTAGGAATAAATTTCTATGGAAACGCCAGATATTATTCAAGAAAGGAAGAATAAGAAGACAGCAATTAAAAACAGTCGAAGAAGAACAGAGAGAGTCAAGGCGCAGACCGAATACACCGAAGTAAACAAGATAGTGAGGAAGAGCATTAGAGTTGGTGAGCAGAAATATGTGTAGGACTTAGCAATGATATCGGAAAGAGCTGCATGAGACGGAAATGTGAAACAACTATAGGATAATATAATGAAGAAACTAGTAGGGAAATATTTTAAACGAGAGCGATCAGTCATAGACGAAGAAGGCAAGCCAATCACTGAGATTCAAAAACAGCAAAATAGACCAAATCACAACACTACGGATAATTGTTTGACAAACAGTTGAACGGGACTCATTAATATACGTTGACTTCCTTGATTGTGACAAAGCATTTGGTACGGAATACAATGGACAGCTTGCATGCAACTATACGATTCGGACTTCGCAGTTCACCTAGCTTTTCTTTTCTATACACGTCAACAAATTCAGGTAAAGACAGTTGGTATAGAATCAGCTTCTGGAGCAATTGGCCTCAACCTTCACAGGGGAAGAGCAGGATTCTGAAATACAACACAGAGACAACAGACTCAATCATACTTGGTGGAGAAGCTCTGGAAGTGGTGGGAAGTTTTTCGTACTTGGACAGCATGATCGATAAACAAAGAAGATCTGATGTGGGTCTGAAGGTGCAAAGCAAGGATAACATTCCTACAATCAAAGAACATCTGAAACTCTAAAAAACCGTCGGTAAACTTCAAAGTCAGAATTTTCAAATTTGAACTTTAATACTGTCCTGTTGTACGGAGTTAAAACTTGGACAACTACTATAACCATCATCAAAAGTGTATAGGTATTAATAAACTCAATATTTGTTTGCCGGATAACGTCAGCAACAACTTACGGTATGAAATAACAAACAAGCTTCCAACTGGAGAGGGAATTAAAATTACTTTGATGGTGGATAGGACACAGATTTCAGAAATCGCTAAATAACATAACAAGATAAGCCCCAACTTGGAATCATGAAGGTTAAAGGAAAAGAGTAAGACCAAACAACACGTTGAATAGGGAATCGAAGGCAGACAGCTGAAGGATGAATAGAACTTGGAGACAACTGGAAAAGCGAATCCATGACAGAGTTGGTCGGAGAATCTTTGTCGGTGGTCTATGATCAATGAGAGGTAACAGGCGTAAGTAAGTGAGTAAGTATATGTAGGATCCCTATATTTTCTGGAAATCGACAGTTATCTGAACTTTGAGTAAAATTGTTCATTTTTATGTGTTTCTTTTAAATGATATTTCAAGTAAACAAAACGTCTCTCAGCTTTCCCTTAATAAACTTGTAAACAATCAAGGCTTCATTGTATCCCTATTATTTATAGGTCAAATATCTATTTTTATCTATAATGGATAATTCGATGATGAGTATATTCGTGATTTGATTTGTAGTAGTTAATAAAGTTTTGCTACTTATAGGTTGATTACTGATAGAATTTTCGCTGATTTGTTTGTTGTTGCTATAAATGTATATTTGTAAACCAGCTGGGATAATTTTAAAGCTTATATATCGCTATATTACAATTATCTGCAATATTGTACTATTTAATTTACTTGGTGGAAAAAAACTTCCAAATTACGAAAATCTGCTACAATACTGCCAAAGTGTTCGGTCACACTAAACGATTTAATACGACCTCTATTCCATTTTCCTGGACCAATATACGGATCATATTCTTGTGGTATACGCGGTGGCAACGGTGGAGGTCGTGGCGGAGGTTGTGGTGGAGGTTCCCATTCGCGAGAAAGGGGTCCATATGAACCAACATATTTTGACCTAAACATTATATCTGAAATCGATGAACAAAAATTTTACTAATTAAAAAAATACAAAGTTAGAAGTTAATTTTTGATGTTTTTTGTTTAAAAAAGACTTATCACCAGTTCAATTGTATAAAAGTAATGTAATCAGTACAACGCTTGAAAGCACTGCTATTTGTCAATGACAGGACCATAATTGATCAAAGTTCAAGAATGAGATAAAACAGCCATCAATTGCTTTTTAGTTTTCAATAGCTGATATCAAACCTTGACGAATATTATCTTCATTTAACTATGATTCAATTACATAGTACACACAATGTTCAGTAATTTTGTGTACTGCTTTATAGCATAAAGGTTATTTTCATATTGTATAAACATTTTTTTCACCAAACTTTTATTACTGATATCCAAGTAGTGTAGGTTACAGTTTGCACAAAACGTCGTTTATACTAACTACCTTGCCAATTACCAAGACCTATCATTGGTTTTTTAATTGAATAGTCAAATTTTTACATAGCTTTGATTTAGGTCAGGACCCTAAAGATTCAGCTAATATTGTTTGCCAGTTTTAGATTTATTGATGGTCGAACACAACCACGACCACAGCATTCAGGTTTCGTGTGAAACACGACGTCAATCAGTTATTGAATCAGAACTCAAGATTGCATCAAATAGTCTAGGATAAAGAGGAACTATAAGTCAGTAAGTAATTATCCTAATTCTTCATGAGTGACTCACCACATCAGAGATTCCCACTAGAAAATTTTATTCGATGCTGTAGTGGAAAGTTGCAACCACCGAAGTCGACTGATTCAGTAATGAGATGTTTAGTGTCGATGATAACGATTGTGTGCCAAATTTCAAAGTAAATAAACTGAACATATGCTACGTTGATTTCGTATAGGTGTCATGCTCAGGGTTAGAACCGAAGCTCGCGTTTTTCATTCCATGTGAGAAATCTGTTTTTACGATACTGAAGTCCTGAGTTACGAAAAAACATGTGTTCAGGACTTTTTGAGAAATAAATGATTATTTTGATGGAAAGTAAGATATTAAATCCCTACTGGAGAATTGTAATTCATTTTGATGATCAGAAATAAACAAATAGACATAAGCGTAGCATTGAACCACTACAGAATAGCACATGCGAAATGAATTCATTCAGTCCACCCTAAGAAAGTTTGAGACTAAAAATTATGATCGATAAGAATGGAAAATACTAAGATGAATAGGAAATATTCTGTGACGACGGACCAAGGGTGAACTCGAGGAAGCTGTAAGAGGCTCAGAAGGAGTCGAAGATGTTCCATTCAATCACCTTTCGGAAGAATATTCTAGAGTTTTTACGTGTAGCTTCCCGATTGGATAATGCTAATAGCCCCCTGTATGCGGATTGGAGGACTGAAATGATGATTTCGTTCTTACTAAAAACTATAAATACCTGACAATTTTGTACTATGATTAGCGCTGTTTGGAATAATATTCCTTTCATTAGTTTTCTGTCTGCTTATTGCGACTTGAAAGGGTTTTGGTGTTCTAGTGCTCTGTTATACGCGGTATATCAAGAAATCAACATCCAAGATATAACATATTCGAATAGCAGAAACATTTAAAGGATGATGTCTGAAGGGAGTGAATACACCTATTTTATTGCGTATAAACTCAGTTTTAACCACTCAAATCCCACGACTCGAAGTGAAAACGAAAGACTGGTACAAACGAAAATTTAATAACCCTCCAAAAACACGTCCACAGTAGTCTAAAATCACTTCGTCATTAAACCAAGCCCTCATTTATGTATTGATTTCTCACAAACTTAATGATTAGTTAATAAACATCATAGGAAAGGAATGATGCACATGGTTACTGTAAAACAATTACGACATTCTCGCTGGATAATACAAAGAATATAATTGTCACACCTCCCATACTGAATGAATTTCAGACTCAGTTGACACAAAATATATTCAAAAACGAAGAATATTTGAGCGAACAATTGTTTTCAATAACTTCATCATCAGGCTCTACAGTTATAAGTCCATAATTATAATATTTTACAAAGGCCAAAAATAAGGCATGTTTTAATGAGTTGTTGAAGTTATTGAAAACAATTGTTCGCTCAAATATTCTTCGTTTTTGAATATTCTACGGGGATTTTTAAACTGACAAAATATATTGTCCTAAAATATTGCTACAGTTGAAAATATGACTACAATATCTTACTGACCGTGAAAATGAAATCGATATCAAAATGTCACATTGAGAATAAGTAATGTTATAAAATGTTGCGCTGAGTTGGGGTAAACATGAACTCTTCATCTTATTGATAACTAATATCACCTTGAAAATCTAAAAGTAAATTAGACTTTTTTTTCATCGTACCAATCTGGCTTACTTTGTATTTACTCCCCAGTTATATCTTCCATCCACTGGGTGTGTATACATCCGTACTTTGGTAAACGTAAATTACGCCCCAACAAATTCAGTACAGATTTACAATATCATCTATTATCTTAACCTTCTTACCTAGAAACGTTGGCATAACTAGGTTGTTTCTTGATTGAAGCACCAGAATCTAACCATTTGGTTTTAAGTTTAAACTTAACTCCACTTAATTTGGTTGTTCGGTATCATAACTGTCCTTCAAGCTTAGGAAGGGTTTTAAGGTCAAATTTGTACTTGATAAATGCGTTAAAGTAGAATAAGTGGTTAACCAATTATAATGACACCTTTTCAAAAAAATAATTTTTATTTTTCAGATGTTGCCTAAGAATATCAAACTCATTTATATGCATGATTGCTTCGCTTAAGTTGAGTTTATTTGAACAAATTTACTGACTATAAACTTATTTGACGGTCTCTTATAAGTATGTAAATTTTAGCAACATCTGATTATCTATCTATCTTTTATGTCAAGTATTCTTCAATTATATGAAAACAAAAGAAGATAGACTGACTCAGACAAAAACTCAATACAAGCCAGATTGATTACGTATCGAACCCCATAGAAGACTAGAAACAATAACTTTTGGAAAGACGTTGGAATTTGATCGAAGAGATGCATTTGACCAACTATGAAGATTATTTGTATAAAGTTATGCAGATGTAAGAGACTGAGTTTTTTATTTCTTGGTATCAAGGACTACAAGCGAACAAGTTAGTACTGACTATTTGGACCCAATAGGTTAGTTTACAACTCGGTGTTTGAGACGAAATATAATTGTTGTAACGGGTGTGAGACTGCAGGTTTTGATAAGCAGTGTTTATATCGATCGATTACAGTGACACGGAAAACACGTACGGACGACCCAGTGCCCTGATTGGTCCCGCTTCGCAGTCTGTCCCAGCCAGTTGGGTCAGGAACACAAGTCACAGCCTCTGAGTTATGAATCATTGTATTTCAAACATACTTTGTTTATATACCAATCAAGCACACCACATCGTGCCATAAAATAGGAAACAACATTTACAAAATATTTAACAAGTGAAATAAACATCGACTAATAAGAAATGTACATTTAAGGTCCAAGGCCACCATAGAATTAACACGATAATTATTGGTATATTTTTCCGACTATCCTAACACCTCCCTTTTTTTGAAAGATCCGGAGTTAATATACGGATTTTAAAATTTTCTGCTTCCGTCCTCCCCCGCGAAATAACGTCGGGTCCTCATATACCCAAGTAACAGTTAGTCTGATTCTATTTAAAGCATATTTCGCGTATTGAGTAGAGGGTTCACTAAAACTGACTAGATGATGAGGATTAGCGACACCAGACATGAGGTCATTAAGGTTTGATTCTTGTGCAACATATTCTTCAGACCTCTTCAAGATTCTATCACTGGATAATAGGTCACTAAAACAAACAGCATCTTTGAAATTCGTATTAGATTTCTGACCATTATTTGATGCACGGGAAACATTTTCTGGCACGAGAGGTTCTTCTTGTAAGCTGGATACCTCACATGTTTCAGGCACAGTGGGATTTGAACCCACAACAGGGCATGCTTCTGAGTTGGATAATTCTGGACCGCTGGACGGATCATGAGTGACTGCCTCGTTTGCATTACTGATCATAAGGGATTCATAGAGGCTTTTGTTTTCATCTTCATATGTCCTGCAGTCATTCTCGAGTTCAGTATGCAAGTGAGAAATTAATTCGTCAATCTCTTTCACGTCTCCGAAACATGGGAAATTTAGCAGTCGCGTGCGTAAATTGTCCAAAACATTCAACTGGCTCTCTCTGAAACGCTGCTGCTGGCGATCAAGTAGTAGCTGCAATTGATCGGGAAGGATAGTCATTTTCTGAATCAGTAGGGTAGAGAAATACTGTAATCAATTAACAACCAATGACTTCCAAGGACGCTGATGACAAATCTGGATACCAATTGGTCAAAATAATTATGCTGAATCTCGTTCTATTAGAGGGTTCAAAATTTTCTCTACCCCGTCGCCAATTGTTGTAACGGGTGTGAGACTGCAGGTTTTGATAAGCAGTGTTTATATCGATCGATTACAGTGACACGGAAAACACGTACGGACGACCCAGTGCCCTGATTGGTCCCGCTTCGCAGTCTGTCCCAGCCAGTTGGGTCAGGAACACAAGTCACAGCCTCTGAGTTATGAATCATTGTATTTCAAACATACTTTGTTTATATACCAATCAAGCACACCACATCGTGCCATAAAATAGGAAACAACATTTACAAAATATTTAACAAGTGAAATAAACATCGACTAATAAGAAATGTACATTTAAGGTCCAAGGCCACCATAGAATTAACACGATAATTATTGGTATATTTTTCCGACTATCCTAACAATAATGGATTCAACTTCAGTATGAATATCAACATTAGAATACGACTGACGAGTATCAACTTAGACAACACTTGTGTTGTGAATTCCACCATTAGTTACATTCCAACTTTCTAAGACTCGTAACTAATGCTACTATCAAAGCAATCTATTTAGAATGTATATACAACAATTGCGATTGATCAAGTGTAATATGATAAC